TCTTTCTCTCTCTCTGGTCGAATTAAAAATATAATAATGATAAATAACATTAAATAAAATCATTCTTAAAAAAGAAAAAAGGAACAAAGTCAGACCGTTGTCCTTTCTCTCGAGCCAGTCCCCAACACAGGCCCTCCCTGCCTTCCTCCTCCCTTGGCTTTTACCACCTTGTGTAGTCCAACATTCTTATTTAAGAGAAATTTATTTGGGGCCAGCAGGTGGTGTAATGGTTACATCACTAGACTGTCATGTAGTCGACCATGGTTCGAATCACAGACCCAGAGGCTTAAAACTCACTCTGGGCGCTTGTGCATGTGTGCCCAAGATCCCCAGAGGAAAACAGAGGAAAAGGAGCTGCAGCATAGCCATCCCTCCAGGGGGTGATTTCTTGCTTTCTGTCTTTCTCTCTGGTGAGCACACATGCCTTATAGCAAAAATCTCTTTTAAAAAAGTTTGTTTATTTACCTCTCTAATGAGTGAGAGAGACAGAGATACAGAGAGACAGAGGCAGAGAGACCTTAGTCCTTCCCCAAAAGGACCCTGAGGTTGTATTCCACCCCAGCCTCAGTCAGCCACAGATCCTGGTGTACTCAGGAGGTCTCTGGACTTGAACTTGGAACCCTCCCATGTGGGCCTGCCTCAGAGTATTGCGTTTTACTGCTATGCCACCATCCAGGCCCTGTTCAGATCTTTTGGTATGCATCTGGACCTTAGCATCGCCTGCTCCTGCCTGCTACTTTCTTCCTGTGGCTGTTCCGACCTGGTATTCCTTCCTCTGAGAGACCCTTCACTTTACCCCCAGTACCCTCTTTTACCTTACTCCCTCTTGCTCCTCTTGTGAGTCCTCCGTGCTTGGGGACTTCTCCCGTCACGTATCTCCTCACTTACCTGGTATCTACTCAGACGTCATGTGTGATCCTTCCGCCTGGGACAAAGATGGACACCCCAGCCATCCAGGACGACCCTGTCACTAGCTCTGCCGTCACCTTCCCTGCTCCTTCACCCAGGCAGACCCACCACCTTTTGACTGAACTCGGCCTGGGCATCAGAAACCACCTGGGTATGGTGCTTAGCCGTTGGTAAGCATCAGCGGTGGCACACACGGGGTGGTGTCTGCCTGCCCTTCCGGCCGCAGTGATCAGTGCCTCCCAGGCACACGCTCTGTGACCAGGTCTCAGGCCATGGTGCTCTCTGCTCCCCGCCCTCAAGCTCTGCCTCGCTGTGTCTGGCCTTCCAGCCCTTGTTTAGACTGTCTTGTCCCCAGCAGATATGCAGTCCTGGAGGGCTGGGTGTGTGTGCCCCATCTCATTGGTGGCCAACCGCCCCCTAAGGCAGGTGTAGGGCTCCTTGTTGGCTAGTCTCTTACTGGATGAGAGACACAACGTAATTGGATCCTTCGGTCCTCCTTCCCAGGAGGACCTTCCTCATGCCTGTCCTGGAAGCAGGAGTGTGAAGCGTGGGAGAAGTGGAGAGGTGCTTCACCAGGCCCTCGCCAATGCTCATTTTGGCTCCCACCATGTACCTTCAGGCATGGGGCTTAACTGCTGACGATATCGGTTGCCTATAAAGGCAGGAGTGTGGTCCAGATGGTGGCGCAGCCTCTGTGAGGCTGAGCACACAGGAGGGCCCTGGGTTCATGCCCAGAGACCCCTGAACACACCAGGCACACACCCATCCATGATCTAGGGCTTGTTGAAGCTGGGGTGATCATGGTGATCTCTCTGTGTCTCATGAGTGAGAGGGAAAAACTAGGTAGGCACAGCGAGTGTGTGTCCCCATCTCCCTCTTTCTGCTCCATGAAGGGTCATGGGGGCAGGGACCCTGCAGCTGAGTGAGCTGAGCGAGCAAAGCTGGGCAGAGGCCTCCCATGGCCTAGAGGCCCTCCAGTCCCAGGTACTAAGAGTCTCCTGTCTTCCTCCACAGCGGCAGGGGCACCACCAGCATGGAGCTGAAGAGAGGGAAGACCTTCATCAAATCCAGTCTGCAGGTTTCTCACGAGAAACTCCCGGACCTGGCAGTCACTGTGTCCACAAAGGAAGATGCAGGTCCCTGGCCAGGCTCACTGGGAGGGCAGCAGAGGCCTCACAGTGAGAAGGGCCCCCAGGCCAGTCCCAGTGAACAAGGATATGACAGATGTCCCAGCAAAGGGGCAGGTCTGGACTCTGCCTTCTGTGGAGCCACCTTCAAACTGGTGCGGAAAAGTAAGACTCATGACAGTGTGTCTGGGGCTGGCCAGGCAGCTGCCACCACAGGACAGCTGGTGGGCAGTGCGAGCTTCCCAGGGCCCCCTGGCAGCCAGCGCATGATCGACTACCGCCACTTTGTGCCCCAGATGCCCTTCGTGCCAGCTGTGGCCAAGAGTATCCCGAGGAAGAGGATTTCCCTGAAACGGCCCAAGAAGTGCTTCCGGAATCTGTTCCACATTCGCAGAAATAAGTCAGAGAACTTGGCCTCACTGACTGCCAAGGGGAAGACCCTGTCCTCTGCTGGGGGCCTGCTGGATGCTGGGGAGCAGCGAGGCCAAGCCTCCCTTCCTCTGGATGGAGGGCTGGGGCTGGACAGCCTGTACCAAGATCTGTCTGACAGTGAGCTCCTGCCCGATCCATCCTTTGACCTCTGCAGGGCCCTGTGTGAGGACGTGGCCTCACTCAAGAGCTTCGACTCGCTCACAGGCTGCGGGGAGATCTTCGCAGATGAGAGCTCAGTGCCGACCCTGGAGCTTAATGATGGCCCCGAGAGCCCAGCTTGTGTGGCCCAGGCCCTGGACAGCAAAGGTCCCAGGGGTCCCTTCCAGGGCGGAGTGGAGCAGCTGGCATCACCTGCCCAGAACGAGGTGTCAGATTTCACCAAGTTCTGGGACAATGTGAATCGCTCAGTGAGGCAGCAGCAGCGTGCCTTGCTGGGCCCGTGGCTGGTGGGCCCCCAGGGGACAGACATGGACCAGCCTAGGCTGGATGCCTCTGGGCTGGCCGAGTTGCCCCTGTGCCCCTGCAGGGACCCTCCCAGTGGGTCCAAAGCCAGTTCCATAGACACAAGCACCCCTAAGAGTGAGCAGCCGGAATCCGTGTCTACTAGTGACGAGGGATACTATGATTCCTTCTCACCGGGCCTGGAAGAGGACAAGAGGGAGGCCCCAAGCCCAGGCACGCCAGCAGCCGCCTTCCCCCGGGACAGCTACAGTGGGGATGCCCTCTACGAACTCTTCTACGATCCCAGTGAGGGCCCTGTCGGCCCGAGCCTGGACGATGACCTGTGCGTGTCTGAGAGCCTGTCGGGGCCAGCTCTGGGGACACCACTGTCCATGTGCAGCTTCCGCGTGGGGGCCGAGGAGAACCTGGCCCCAGCACCAGGTCCCGACCTGCTCAGCCAGGGTTTTCAGCAGAGCTCCTGGAAGGGCAAGGAGTGCCTGCTGAAGCTCTGCGACACGGAGCTTGCCATCACCATGGGCATTGTCAACTGGCTCCGCCGCGGCCCAGAGCTCCGGGCCCCGCCTGCCCCTGCCCCTGCCCCTGCCCCAGGAGAGCCCACAGCCCCACCTGCCTCCCAGAGAGGCCCTAGGAGACAGGCAGAGAGGTTGGAGGGCAGAGAGGACCGGGCCTCAGATGTAGGCAGGGCCACAGTGTGCTCAGCACCCAGCAGGCAGGAGCTGTGGGCATGGCCGGGCAGCAAAGGGCTGCTTGTCAGAGAGAATGAAGTCCCAGGGGGCCCTTTGCAGGGGACCAGCACTATTTCCAGGGACCTGCCTTTGGAGGAAGTGACACGAGGCTGCCCTGCAGGCCTGTTCTCTTCTGTGGGGTCTGCAGTCACTGTGACAACAGACACTTCTAATAAAAACATGGCCCCAAACCCCTCTACCCAGCCCAGCTCCCAGGAGGAACCTAGGCCACTTGGGAACTGGGGGTGTTTTCAAGGTCCCTGGAGATCAGGCCATGGGGGGAATACTTTGGGCACAGAGCCCCTGCTGACAGGGTGTGTGGCCCGTGTGGCAGCCTTGCAGATCCACCCGGATGGCCAGCCCTCAGCCACCCGACCTCCAAGTCAGGACACAGGCAGTGGGCTCATCAGGCAGGCCAGGAGCCCTGACCTGCAGCAGAAACAGCCCAGCAGCTCTCCTAAAATGGCTGCCGTCCACAGCCCACCCTCTCTGGCCAGCCCACAGGACCAGAGGTGTTGAGTCCACTCATGGGCCCAGAGCTGGCCCAGAAATGGGGTCTGCTGGGCTGGGTGCCCAGGCGGGGGTCTCTAAGGGGACCGGACCCTACAGCTGGACTCTCAGTCCTCCTCAGCTCCTAATGTCCATTAGGGCACCCAGGGCCAGCCCCCAGAAATCCTGGGGCCTCTCTGCAGACAGCCAGCAGGAGGGAAATCCCTCTGCAAGTGTCCCAAGTGCTACTGCAGCCTCCTTTGTGACCAGCAGTCAGGCCAGCTGTGGCCGAGCCCCACCTGTAGGGCAGGCTCCTATTTAACTCTCTGTGGCCACAGCAGGACCGTCTCCTCCATCGTCGATCCCTGCTGTGAGTACTGTGTTAAGAGGTGACAGGGCTTGCCCACGCAGGGAGGTGAGGATCTTCATGAGGGTTGTCATTGATTGACCCAGTGGTAGCCCAGGCGGCCGGAGATCAGCTGCTTCTTCTGTAGCTTCAAACTGATGGAAGAAAAGGCACTCACTGGAAAGAGACCCAGCCCGTGCACCGGACACGTGCGGTGTGTGAGGTCCCAGGCTCATGGGAGGGAGACGATGAAAGGAGCCCAGGAATGCTGCTGCTCCCCCCCCCTCCCCCCCTCTCCAGCTCTGTGCCCTGGGACAGTTGGTCATAACACACAGGACCGGAGTTTCTCCTCGGGAATTCAATTTTCAGCAAGAGCCTTGAACCAACCAGCATCCTCCTTACAATGTAACCCCATCGGGACTGGCTGGACCCTGCCAGCCCTAATCAACAGTGTTGCAGGTTCCTCTGTTGCAAACATCCTGTACAATAATTCCTCCGCTTGCATTCTCTAACTGAAGTCATGGATGACAAAATGCTCTTTGGGAAGAAGCCGACCGATCTTCCCAAGTCTGCCATCCTGCCTGGAGGCAGCCATGGTCTTTGGCTCTGCCTCTTCTCATAGTTGACCTCCGCCCCTTCAGGAAAATTTGCCTTTGAATGGGCCTGTGCCTCCACCACTAACAGTCACCACACATACAGTGCCCATTCAGAACTGCAAGGGGACATGCGGCTGGCATCCTCAGGAAGGGCAGGTGTCTGTCCTGGCCTGGCATCAGGCCAGCAGGTGCAGGGACAGAAGGCCCATCCACATTCCCCAGGATTAGATTCTACCTCAGCCAACACACCCGGTGAGCCATGGAGAACGGGGCATTATGGGCAGCTGTGAAGTGCATTTCCGAAGAAAAGGGCACCAGAGGAAAAGGCGAGGTCAGGTTCTCCTTCTCCACTAGAGAAGGTCCATTTCACACTGGGCTTCCTCGGGGAGGAGAGGAAGGTGCCGTCTCTGACCGCAGGAAGAGGCAGGGGAGGAGTTCCAGATGGGGCTGCAGTCCCACCAGGTGGCAGGCTCCCAGCCCCTCCTGATCTGGTGTCAGGCTGGAGGAGACCCTGAGGTCCTTTTCACAGCAGCTACTGAGGCTGCTGCTGTTTGTCGGTCACAGGAGCAGAAGTCTCTGGCCAGACTCGGCAGACCTGGGGTGTAGGAGGCTCTGACCAGGCCTGTGCAGCCACACCCGAGCCTCGTCCCAGGTCCTGTGCACACGATCGTGGCGTGCTCCTGAGCCTGGCTGTGAGCAGGCTGCATGTAAGTCGGTGTGCCCGATCCCTGCAGTCATTGCCCTCACTGTTCAGACCTAGAGATGGAGGCACGAAGGGCTGCTGTAGCTTGCCCAGGGACACCCAGCTGGTGGCGAGGTGGACAGATCTGAACCCTGGCCCCCCTCCAAAGGCCCTGCAACTTCACGCTGGGCTTCCACAGTGAGCTCCGTCATGGAGCCTTCGCTTTGACCTTTCAGGTATCCGAGCGCCCTGGGGATAGCCAGGGTCTTCATCGGCAGACTGGGAGCTGGGGAGGCCGCCTCGCTCAGTCAGCCTGCGGCTTCACTCTTGCTGGCCCACACATGCTGGACGAGACTTGTTCACAGAATGAAATGTCCAAAGGTGGCTGTGGTGTTCTGATTTGCCGACTGACTTGAGCTGTGTCTGGAGAGCAGCAGAGCTAAGCTCTAATCCCGACTCCAGCCTCCCTGTGGCGGGCGATGAAGCGCTTCCTCATTGTGCTTGTCGTGGTGGTGACTTGTGATGGGGAGACCCCAGCCAGGCCCGAAGGCACCCCTAGAGTGGGAGCCCAGGTGATTTGGGCACAGTCACAAAGGCCTGGGCTAGGAGGGGGACTAAGGGGCACCTAGGACCTGGTGGTCTACAGGGACCTAGCAGTAGGGCAGCAAGAACAAAGATCTAGGGCACGCTTCCTGGGGAGGAACCACTGCCCCCTTGACCCTGGGCTCCCTGCCTACGGGCTTTAAACACCAATTCTCCAGAGACTCTCACTCAGCATTTTGGGCAATAGTTCCCAAGAGTGGCCCTGTGGAAGTCTCCTTCTGTCCTTCCCTGAAGGGTGAGCTCTCCCTGAAACCCACCCCTGGGGCTACCCTCCCTGGGGAGAGGGGCCCTGCTAGACCAGCCTAGCCCAGCTCTGCATGCTGCAGGGTGATGTGGGGAAGGGAGAGGGGAGTTTCAGGGCCAGCCAGCTCTGGGTCTGGGAGTGGAAGAGCCTGGTTGGGAGCACCGGAAACTCTGGCCATTTCTAACCCTCTGAAGAGGTTGCTACAGGGTTATCTCATGTGAAATAAAATCCTGAGAAGCAGGTGGGTTGTCTCCAGCTCACAGCTAACCTCCAAGGCCACAGAGTAACTGGTCCAGTGTCCCATAGTTGGTAGGGTGTGTCTCCCAGGGGCCATAACCTTCTCCAATATGCTAGAAAGCTAGAACATGCTGGTCAGGACTCAGGGTTAGGAACAGAGAGAGATGATAAGAGCAGAAGGAAGAGAGAGGGACAAGAGGGGAAGAAAAGGTGGGTGGGGAGGGAAGGGGAGGCTGGAGAGAGAGGGGCAGGGTCAGGAGAGGGCGGATGTGTTGCAAAGAAGAGTGAAGGCCCACCTGGGCTGGGAGGAGCCTGGGAATGTGTCAGGGGTGCTTCTTATCTTCCCCAGTTTCCTATTTTGTTTTCCTTATTTATTTTATTTTATTCTGGAATGGTAAATAATGCATAGTATTTGGATCTATTCTGTTGCTAACAATAGGAAATACCTGAAACTTGGTGACTTACAAGAACAAAGGTTTGTTCATCTTGGGGTTTGAAGTCCAAGTTCCAGGAGCTGTATTACAACATGGCCGAGGGCAGGAACACGGTGTCTGTGTCGGCGTCTTTGTTCTGGGATCCTTCCCTCTCCTATAAACCCACCAAGAGTCAGTCTTAGGGGCCTGCTCTGATGACCTTAATCCCAATCTCCTCCCAAAGGCCCCGCCTTTCAACACCTGTCAGGTTAAGTTTTCGCCTCCTAATCCTGTCACAGCCAAACCTCAGTACATGAACTCTGGGCGGTGCCCAAACTATGGACTGAAAACTCAAAAGGCACAGAAGGGGAAACTGAAAATGGATTCTCCTTCAGTCCTCCTTTACCCATGTGTGGTGCGAAATCAATTCACACTTAACCACATCCAGCCCAAACACGGTAAAGTGCAGAGCCTCCCCTTTCTCTCCTCCTCCCCTGCCATGGCAGAGCTCATGCCCGTTTACCCTCTTCTCCCGCGGTATGGTGGACATCCCTCCTGGACTTGGTAGGCACCGGCAGCACAACCCTGCTCTTCTGAGCAGCTGTGTGGCAATCGTGTAAAGCCCTCTCTGTTATGGATCTTCAGGGTACTTCCCACTTTTGTTGTAACACGCAACGTTGCACTCACCTTTATTCCCCTAAGTGTTCTTTATTAAGGTCCTCTTCAAAACTAAAAACAGAGCTGACCTTAACAATGAAACGATGTATTTTCACTGCTCGCCAGAGGCACACCTCCCGCCTCTGTGGTCCTGCCTCCCTGCTCAGCTGTCCTGAGGTCCTACAGTGGCAGCCCGGGCTCCAGGTTCACGCAAAAACACGACTTTCCCATCTGTGGGAGGGGAGGGGTGTTCTGTTACCACCGTGTATAGACCTTGGGAGTCATCATTTCCATCCTTACAACAAGAAAAAGCTGGAACCACAACCCAGAGATGGCAGGGCAAATGACCTTCCTGAAACCCAGAGATGGGTGTCCTGAGGCATATGGTACCTGAGACCTCAAAGTGTCAAAAACTGGTGGGGACCGTGAAGTCGTAGCTGTGACAAGTTGTTGCAGGCTGAGTAAGTGGGGGCTGCACAGTGAAAGGGCCCACAGGGTCAGAGGCTTTTCCTGCAGGAACCACTCCATGTTTATGGGGTGAGGGTCACTAATAGACGCCCCTGCATGCACAGGGACCGAAAGACAGCTGGTTATCAGACTGGAAGACAGGGGAGGACAGCCTTCCCCTCCTCACCGAGCCTGCACTAGCACTGCTGCAGGAACAACAGTGGGGGACAGCTGAAAGAGCAAGAAGATGATACCATGAAGAATAGAAGGGCCAAAGTAACCCCACTGCAATAATCTGGAGCCTCTGCTACCTATAGCGATGACAAATTTTAAAACAGCTAAGCTCCTAGCCAGACTAACAAGTCTTCACACCAAAAGCCTCTGTACCCCAGTACCTATCACTGTATTCATGTCTTCCAAAGCCTGCTACAGGCAAGAGAAATGAAATCTCGAGGGACCAAACAAGTGTCGGCATGAGACTCACTGGGCGCTGGTGTTGGAGTGATCAGATGGGGGCTAGAATCGACCACGCTTTATATGCTAAGGGTGCTAATGGGAAAGGCCGATGACACGGGGAACAGGTGGGTAATGTAAGCTGGCACAACACATTCTAAGACAAAATTGAAAGGAAATGCTAGAAATCTAAACATGGTCTCAGAATAAAAGTTACTTCCATGGGCTCCTCAGTAGACTTGAGAGGGGTGAGTAAAGAATCAGTAAGCTTTATTAGAAAATACCTTGAGACGAATGAAAATGAAAATGCTGCATATTGAAATTTATGGGATGCAGAGCAGGCAGTGCCAGGAGAGAAACGAATGGCTTAATTCACACATTTACAAAGGCGGAGCCTCAGTTCCGTCATCACCTCTACATCGTAAGGGACCAGAAGAAGGGAAAACTAATCCCAAACCCCTAGAAGGAAGGAAGCAATGGAGATTAAGTGGAAATGAATAAAATAGACAACAGAAAAGAGAGAAAATCAACAGAACCCCAAATTGGCAACCCTTTGGTAGATTAAAAGACAAGACTCGAATTACTAAAATTAGAAAGTAGACACAGTAATACCAACTTTACAGAAAGAAAGAGGATTATAAGGGAATGCTATGAACATTTGTATGCCAACAAATTAAATAACCTAGATAGAATGAACAAATTTCTAGGACACACAGGTACCAAAACTGAATCATGATACAACAGAAATTTTTTATTTTACTTATTATTATTATTGTTATTTTTAAATTTCGCTAGAGGGCACACACACTAGAGAGAGAGAGACAGACAGAGGGAGACGGAGTGAGAAAGTCCTCTCCAAGGGACCAGCAGTTAGCGTAATGGCTATGTTGCTTGGATCCCATGTAGTATACCGTGGTTCGCGTCCTGGACCCAGTGGCTTACACTCACACCGGGCGCATGTGTATGCATGCCCAAGAACCTGAGAAGAGAATGGAGGAGAAGGGATTGAGGCGTGGCCATCCCCCCTTGGGGGTGATTTCTTGCTTTCTGTCTGTCTGTCTCTCTCTTTCTGGCAAGCGACGCTCCCTATAGCGAAAAACTTTCCAAAAAAAGAAAAAAAAAAAAAAAAGAAAGAAAGTCCTCTCCAGTAGGGTGTGGTCATGCCACAATTCGCTCCTCTCCATTTCTCCATCCTGTCAGGATCTTGGCATGCATACACATGTGCCCAGCATGGTTTTCAAGCCATGATTAGAATAATGTCGTTGGCCATGTGGAAACCAGTTCTTCCAACCACCAGGCCATGGGGTCAGCCTAATGACATGATTTTAAATGTAGAAAACCCTAAAGACCACACACAAACACACACACATACGTAAACACACACACACCATTAGAGCTAATTAAGTTAATGCAGCAAAACCACAAAATATAAAACCAACAAATAAATATCAATTATATTTCTATACATTTGCAATGAACAACCCAAAATGGAAATTAACAAACAAAACACTTTCATTATGCATATTAGAAAAACACACCATTGTTCCATGATTTTTTTTAATCTGTCATTTGGTTTTTAATGATCTTAAATTTTATGATGGCATAATTTACAAATCTATTCTGACAGTATATCTCCTTTACTTTAATCCTTCTAATAAACTGGCAAGAACACCATTACCAATCACACACATACAGTAGTTCTTTGGTTTCTATGTGGTTTTGAACAGTTGCCTAAGAATCTTGAAATATAACTTAGTCTGACTTAGATAACAGGATTCAAAGGTTTGATTTAACATGCTATTAAATCTTATCACACTGACTTTTAAAAGCGTCTGACCTTACAACTCATTTATAAATATGTAAAGTGCTACATATTCTTTATTTGATAGTATACATAAACCACACTAAAATGTCTTTCAATAAGTAAAAGGCAGTGTTTTGGAAACAGGGAATTCTAATTAAGTGATAGATATGACCAAATATATAAAGCAGACATCACTACCTTGTCTTCAGTTTTTGCCTTAACAGGTTAATAAACACAAATTAAACCACAGGTGAGTCTGCTTAGTTTTGAGAAGTGAAGGGATTTCGCCAGCATTTACGTATTCATATGACCAGTTACATACAAGCCTAAATAAAACCAGTCTCCAGTAGGCTTTGAGATGGCGTTCACCATCTTTGTAGAAGGATGAACATCACTAATGAATTACCAATTATCTTTAGAAAGGACAAATAGTGATAGCACTTACTGAACTGAAATTACTATCAAAATTTTTAAAAAAACAACAATATTAATTTAACCACAAGCCAGTCTTACTTAAATCAGGATTGTCCAACAAAAATATCCTGTCAGCCATTCATGATCTGAGTTCTGGTGCAGGAGATCAATTAAAATATGGTACACATAAAAAAAGGCGAGACATTTCTGTCTTGTCATAAATAAGGCAGTGGCCACCTATTACTCGTTAGTAGCTTTTTTAAGGTAACCTATCAACTCCACTCTTTCTGACTTCTTTTTAATGCCAGCGAAGATAATTTTTGTTCTTGGGATTCTCCAAATACTCCATCAGTGTATCTTCTCCCCAGGTAACGTCTTTGTTCTTGGCATCTGTGTAAGACAATCCAGGGGCCTGACCCGTCTTCCACTCAAATAGGCCATGGAGATTTGGGCCAGTCTTATGCTTGCCTCTCTTTTCCACAGTGTGGCACTGGGCACACTTCTGAACAAAAATCTTCTTGCCTTTCTCAACATCACCCATTTTTAATTCTCTCTTTTGTCTCGGGAATATAGAGAAACCACTCAGAAGTCAGACGACCTGCTCTGTCCCATGATATTGTCTCTCAACACAGATCAACTTCTGGATCCCAAAATGTGTGGAGATTTCTCCCTGTCATCTAGCAAGAAGTCGATTCTACAGTGGACACCCTCCAGGCATTCTTTAATCCAATTAGATTCCGATGCTATCTGCTAGGAGATGGCATCAGATCCTACAGGTGGAAGGTTCAGTCCCCAAGACTTCTTCCCCCACTCCATGCCAATCACAAGCCTCAGGTGTTTTTGCCTATGCTTTTGCCGACTGACTAGCTATATATCAGAGTTCCCAAGACCTCTTCCTCTCCTCAGATTAATTTGTTAAAGTGGCTCACAGAAATCAGGAAAACACATATTTATGATTACAGATCATTGTAAAGGATATTGCAAAGGGTAGATGAAGAGATTCATAGGAAAGACATGTGCAAAGAGGCGTGGGGCTTCCATGCCTTCTCTGGGGTACTTCCCCCCGGGGCCATGTGTTCGGCCATCCAGAAGCTCTTGGAACCCTGTTCCGTTGAGTCTGTATGAAGACTTCATTAAACAAATGCTAATAGACTGGGTGGGAGACTCTGTAAGGCCTATCTGTTCAAATGTATGGCCTCTCTGTGTGACATGCCTTCTTCCTGTGTGCCCCTTTTGGAATGAGGGCCTTAAAGGAGGATGTGGACTGGAGTCTCTCTGACTTGTTGTGGGGAAGGTGCAAGGAGAACAGGGGAAGATCAGACTGTCTTCAGCTTTGTCTCTGAAGCTGTTTCCAGATGTTTCAGGAACCAAGGCCAAAAGACCAAATACCCTTGAACCAGGAACCATGGATGAAACCAAATATATACATACACACACACACACACACACACACAAATATATATATATATATGTATGTATACATATATATATATGTATGTATATGTGTATATGTATATATATATGTATAATCACACATAATATCATAAAAATAAAATACTTAGGGATAAGTTTAATTGAGAAAGGGAAATAATTGTACACTGAAAACTATAAAATATGGCTGAAATAAGTAAAAAAAATACGCAGGTATAAAGAAAGACATCCCATGTTCATCTATTATTAAATTACAACACTGTCTAAGGAGATCTGTAGATTAAGTGCAATCTCTCTATTAAAATCCCATTGGCTTTTTGCCCCAGGAATAGAACAACCCATCCCAAAAATCTTAAGAACCCAGAAGAGATAAAATAATGAAAAAACAAACAAACAAAACAAAACAAAACAAAAAAACAAAGAAGGAGGATTGTGGCATGGTGAAATCCTGTCAGAGATGCCTATCTTTCTCTATCATAAAAACAAACTTTTAAAAAATAGACAAAAGCTTTGAATAGACATTTCTCCAAAGAAGATACACAAATGTTCGATAAACATGTGAAAATAACCTTCTATATCATTAGGAAAATGAAAACCACTTCACACCCAGCAGGGTAACTATTAAAAAACAAAACAAAACAAAACAAAATAAAAACAGGTCCAGCCTCTGTGGCACAGTGAGAAATCTATAGTATTGTGAAGCTCTAGAAGCCACATGCCAACCAGGGTTTGAACCCCAGCCTGGTTAGCCTGAAAACATGTCGGGCACATGCATATATGCCAGGATCCTGGTGGGCTGAAGGACTAGAGGAAGGGGATTTAGCATGACCGAGCTCTTTGGAGGGTGCTTCTGTCTATTTCTTTGTCTTTATTTTTCTCATGTGTGTCTACCATGAATTAAACAAAAAAAGGTAATAACAGCAAAAACAAAATGAGAATAGTAAGTGTTGGCAAGGATATGTAGAGATCAAAATTCCTGTGTATTTCTTGTGGTGATGTGAAATGGTACAGTACCTGTGGAAGATAGTTTGACAATTCTTCAAAAAATATATATTTATATATAAGAACCATAAATATAGACATAGAAAATATACCACAGGACCAGTAGGTGACGTGGTGGTCAAGGTGCTAGATTCCCATGTAGTTGACCATGGTTCAAGTCCCATGGTTCAAGTCCCCAGCAGCTTAAAATCATGCTAGGCATGTGTGCCCAAAATTCTGAGAGAAAGGATTGCAGCATGGCCATCACCCCTGGGAGAGAAATTCTCACTTTCCCTATCACTCTCTCTCTCTGTCTCTCTCTAGTGAGTGCATGTGCCCTATAGCAAAAATCTTAAAAACAAAACAAAACAAAACAAACAAACAAACAAACAAAAAACTGACTTGAAATACACTGACACAGATAGGTTAAAAGTAAAGTACAGGAAAGGTTGTACCATGCTAACACTAAACAAAAGAAAGTCTGAATAGCTATATTAATTTTTTTTGTGTGTGTGTGGTAAAAGGAAATTTTTTTTTATTATCATCATAATCTTCTTTATATTACATTGGATTACATATAACTTTACAGTGTATTACATTGCTTTTTTTTTCCATCCAAAATACACTGTGCATTGGTTCAATCAAGCAATCAGCTTACATGTTCTCAGCAAGTAATTTTCCAATTCTTACGTCCTGCATACCTTGCCCTTTGTCTTGCCATTCCTGATTCCCCATCCCCTACCCTCTGCCATGTCCCATCTTCCTCCTCCATTGTCCCTAGCATCCATGGTTGCCCTCCATGCCTTCCCCCCCCCCCCT